CTGCATTTTCTTGTGAAAACCACCATGGAAAGTACTTCACACTGCCCATCTATTTCACAAGTAGAACCTAACAGCAAGTAGACCTGCAGCCATTTTTCTAATGGTAGTAACATGCTCCAATTTATATTTACTACAACGTTGTCCAAAAGCCTGAATGACAGAGAAGGACACTGAGATGCCAAGAGCAATGGAAACACTTCAGAAGATCTTCCCCCTTTGTTGGATTCACTTGGCCGTTGATGTTTCCACTGACTTGTGGAACAACAACGTGCTTCCTCTCTCTACCCACCTTCACATCTCAAAATAAACCCAAAAGCATTTCAGAAACACTTCCTACAAGAAGTAGGAAGTAGGGGAGAACAAGTTCACTTGGAGTCACCTCCCTTCTATCCCAATGACCCTACATGTGAGGTAGAAGAATCCAAAGGTCCCCTAAAAGTAAAATCTGTGTTTTCATGCATGCAGCACCCAGTGACTATTTGGAACTCCAAACATGAAAGCTGGCATGCAGAATTCTCTTCATCCATTGCGTGTAGTTATTTTATACAGAGAACAGTTATTAAGACATTTTTATACTAGTAAGGTCCAATTTAGTACATGTACTCAATATTCATGACTATTTGGTCAGACTGCATTACAATTCCCAGGTGAAAGAGATAAGAACTGTCAAATGTCTCAGAGAAGGAAACTGAGAAGCATGATCTAACAGCAAAGAAATCAAGAGTTTGATATTCAGGAAAGGAATAACTTCATACAAGTAAGAACTTTCATGGTTTAAACAGACAAGCCAATCTTGATTAAAAGCCAGAATTTGATTATTTAAGTTTTCTCTCTACTTTATAATGTAATCACTAGAATAACAATATTATATAAAGTTAATTTCGGCAAAATAAAATTACTAAGATTGTCTATGCAACTCATGTAAGCAAATATAATTTTATTAAAAAGGACCAAGAAACTGTGTTCACTGTATTCCAAAAGTTACAGGAAAATATCACCATTCTATTCAATTTGTTTACTGTGAATTATTGTAAAGTATGTCATTCTTCATTGCCTCTTCTGGCTTATATGGGAACATAATGAAGACTGACGTACTGCTTCTAGGTCTCACCTTGTAACTAGGAGCTAAATAAAACCCCCTTGGTGAACCAGGTCCAGGGAAGGATGTAAGCTTCTGATTTCGAGTTAGATATAGAAACATCCTAACAGTTCTGTGTGCTTGTATTTACAGCTCTTGGGAAATGAAACACTTGAGGCACAAAACTTACATAAACACTCAAGTATCACGTGATGAATTGTAGCTAATTTTAATCATGTAAACAACAAGGGTCCATCCAATAGCACACTGAAGTAATTTCCCATTTAATTTCAGTCTTATTGAAACTCTTAAAGGTAATTAGAATTTAAACAAGGACTCTCTAATCCTGTTGCTGAAGAAAATGCACCAAATAGTAAGAAGTGTAGCTCCATGGCACACTCCCATCTTTTAACCTTTCCTCACTAAGAAAAAAACAATCAAGACAACATCTGTAATTCTACCTATAGAAAAGGGTTTTCAAATCCACCCAAAATGGTACATACTCAAAAATGACACATGCAAACACAATTCCTGAGTTTCAACATGCACCCATCCCAGAACAGGACTAAGATACGTGACAGACGCCACTGCTGTCCCTAATACTGCACCCAGCTAAGGAGCATGGAAAACACCCTGAGAGTGCCTGAGGGCTGCCTTTCAGCCTGAGGAAGTTGGGAGGCAGGGACAGAACTCACTCCCCAAAGAACTTCCAGCTGTCATATGTGAGCCTCACTATACATCTGAAAATTAGTGTATTTGGGGGAATGACAAGAGATCTGCAAAAATACAAAGTAGCATCAATTTCCACACCTTACAGAGACAAGAGCTAAATCCAGGCTTCCTCCAGTGCCTCAAAGACCCTTTAAAATACTGTTAACACGCTTCAAAAAATGTCTATTCCTTCTGAGTCTGGTCAGACCTTCAAGTAAGATTTTATTTTTCTTTTGCAATTACAGCCATCTGAAGACCATCACTACCTTCCTGATGCAAATTCACCCTAAATTTCATAAAAAACACAATATCCCTATAGATGCACAGGAACATGGGCTTAAGTCAAACAACACAGTTTGTCATGCTACTTCTGGCACCAAGGCCTATTCTGGGTCATCAGAGTCCTTGGGCCATGTGTACAATTGCCAGTAGTATCTTCTGCAGAAATTCCACCGGGAGCCAGAAGTGACACCATCTATACACCTTTCCCAGCCCTCATATTCTTCCCATTCTCCAACTGCGTTGCCTGTGCCAGCTGCAAACAGGCCTCCACAAAGAATCCAGGACATACTCTCAGCAGGCCAGGAGGGAAAAGGTCAAAAAGGCCAAGAAACTTTTTGAGGTTAGAAAACTAAACACTGCTGTCCTCTTTTCTCAGAGGACCCCACACTTCTCTGAGCAGCTGTGATGGAACTGAATCACAGAGCCCAAGAAATGCTTCTTGTAAGTACAACTACTAAAGTGCCTATTCTTGAATATTTAATCTTGCAATTTCTAATTAGTTAAAAGCTTAAAAAAAAAAAACCTGACCAAACTCTTACAAGCAGTACTGAAATAGGAAGCAGGCACACAAATAATACAACAGAAGTTTGGTATGAATACAGATTTATGTTTTCAACCATGTGCTGCAATGAACAACTAAAACCCAAAAAGACAAATACTTTTGGACTTGTTGTGAAGCATCGTAACAGAAAATCAGACTTAAGTGACAGCAGGCAGCTACTTACCAGTTAGATTTACCTCTGACTGTGAAGTACAGGACTATCTAACAGCTAAATCTCCTCTCAGATTCCGACATGCTTCATCTACAGTGTCATACTTCTGATACATGCCAGGTTTTACATGTTGACACTTCACAAATACATTTTTTCCTGACAGCTCCCTTCCTAGCCAATTCCAATGACAGATGATTGAAGCCAAAGAGTAAATGGTGTAGCTTCCCTATATTTATGGTACAGAGAGTAAATCTGGTGTAACAACATGTGAAATACTGCCCTTGCAAGGTCTGATTCAACCAACTTTACAGCTTCAAAGCAGCAGAGTCAAGCTCCTTCTGGTACACGGTACTCCAAAGAGCAGGTAACTCCCCACAATGTGCCTCCAGGGAAGTGTGTCCCACAGGAGAGCTGGGCTCAGGAGCTGTCCCCCTTGCTCCTGAAAAACCAAGTGGCACGACTCCACCATCACTTCCAAAGCGAACATTCTCTGTGGGAATCATCCAGACTCAGAAAACAGCATAAAAGAAACACTAGAAAACAATCAAGATCCTCACAAAATCTGCTGCTGTGCAAAGAACTTGCTCCAGAACCCCATATATACTCCTTATGCACACAGCCAATGAGTTGAGATGCTCTATTCAGGTTACTCAACAAAATTCTCCCATCAAGGAAAGCAGTAAAGCAAGATCAAAAGGGTAGGTCATATCTGCACCTTAAATGAACGTGGAGATTAAAAAAGAAAAAGTAGGAAAAACACCCAAGCAATCAGTTAAGGAAATGGGAAAAACACCTGCATACCTATTCTCATTAAAAGAAGCTACTTGTGAAACCAAGAAATCCAGCAACTACATAACTAATCACATTGTAAAACAACAAAACACTAATGCTCCTTCTTCAATGAGTTACTTCAAAACTTTTTCAGTATTATTTTGCATTGCTCAGGACCAACTTCATAGAAAACACAGAAATAAAACAACAGACTCAATTCTATAAGTACAGGCTCACATTTAGCTTTATTTCCTTCATACCATGAGCAGAGTCAGTCTTCACTGTACAAACCAAAGATAATTAACAACACTATTATACATCAGCCTAGAGAGATATTGCTGACTTAAGTCTAAATGGCTTGAGAGAAGACTGGTTGTACAGCCACCATGGACTCATTTTGAAAATATATTTTCAGCCCAATAAATTTTATTCCCGCAATGCCTCTTCAGATTTAGGAAAAGCAGTTCTAATTTGGAGACACAGTCCTTCTCAAACACAACTTTCCTCCCTGCCTTTCACTTTCCCCTCTTCCCTTCCCTTCCCACAAACAAGCTATTAATTCCTAAATAAATGGAATAAGCACTTAACATCAGGAGCCACAAGGGTCTGTTGGCTCCTATCTCCTGTTTAAAGGTCTGTTTAAACAGGAATTAAAATAAATCGCTTCTGTGGGTTTAGGCCCAAAAGCTCAAATCTGCAAACAGAGGTACTTGACCTCGCTGGAGCAGCCCCTGGAGCAACCAGATGAATCACGAAGGCCCTGGAGAAGTTCTCCAGAGACAAATACCATTTTCAGAAGTATGCTACCTGAACACAAATCAGGGAACTGTCCCCTGTGCTCGCCTTCTGAAACCCCAAAGCGCAACTCGTGGTTTGTGTTCCCCGTCTTTGCATCTCCCTAGCGCAGTGAAAAGCAAACCACAGACTTCGTGTCCAGCCTGCTTTTAAAAATGAAGTACTTCTTTAAGATGCAATGGCCGACCTTAGCAGTGACATTACTTGACCCGAACATCTCCGTGTGTTTGTTTCACAGCTGATCACCAAAAATCGCGACCACCTTCAGGTCAAACAGCCGCACGCATGGCAATGCCAGGCTGGCACACGTCTCCAGACCCATACCTCAGCTGCGACGTCAAATGCCCTAATTCCACTTTGCTTTAGGAACAGCTTAAGTATCTTTCTTGTGAATGGACTTTAATGTGCCTTCGTTTGGACAGAGTGCTGGAAACACCACTCATGATGCCTTTTGAGTATCAGTCATCCCATTTTAAGGCCGAGGCCACCGGCCCCGAGTGTCCCCGGTGTGCCGGCGCCCCCTTCCCCAGCCCCAGGACCGCGGTGTCGGGGGGACACGGACACGGCGGCCCCGCCTGGCCCGGGGGAAGCCGCAGGAGCGGGGCGGGAAGTCCCGAACCCCGGGCCCCGCCGCCCCCGGCCCCGCTCACCCTTCTTGTCCATGAGCCACATGAAGAAGAAGCAGGGCGCGAAGCCGATGGGCCCCCAGAAGACGAGCAGGGCGATGTCCCAGCCGCTGAAGCCGAAGGCCAGGCGGGCCGAGTTCTGGATGGGGCCCCAGGTGTTCCACACCAGGCCCTGCGCGAAGCCCAGCAGCGAGAACAGCAGCAGCACCAGCCACCGCCGCCCGTACACGCGGCCCGACAGCGGCGGCAGCCGCCCCGCCGGGCCCCCTGCCGGCCCCCGCGCCTGCGGCCGCGCCTGCTGCGGCGGCGGCGGCGGCGGCAAGAGGGGCCGCCGCTCCTCCGCGGTGCTCCAGCCCAAGCCCATCTGCGGGGGCGCTGCCGGGGACCCGCGGGGGAGCAGGGGACGGGGCCGGGCACGGGGACACCCACACCTCAGCCCCCGAGCGCGGCAGCGCTGCCCCGGCCCGGCACAGCCGCATGCGCGGTCAGGGAGGGCCGGCGGCCGCCTCCTTCCTCCGCCGGCGAGGGGAGGAGGGAAGCGGCGGCGGCGAGAGCCGGGACCGCCGCCCGCGGGGAGGGAGCCGCGCCGGCGGGCAGCGGGGGCGTGCGGGGCGGGGCGGCCACCGGGCCGTCAACTCGGTCCGGGGCAGGAGGGGGGGGCGACCCCCGAGAGCCGCTCTCGGGATCACCGGCGGGGCCGCGGAGCTCCGGCTGTCACGCCACCGCCCGGCTCCGCCCCGCCGCCGCCGCCGGGCCGCGCTGCCCCTTCCGCCGCCAAGGCGGTGCCGAGCGGAGCCTCCGCCGGCAGAGCCGCAGCAGCATGGCCGGGGCGGAGATCGGCCGGCCCCCCGCGCCGGGTAGGTGCCCCCCGCCCCGGCCCGGGCCCGGGCCCCAGCGCGGGGAGGCTCCGGGTCCGGCCCGGCGGGCACGGGGAGCAGGAGGCGGCGGCTGCAGCGGGGCCCGCTGTGCCGGCCCTGCCGCTCCTCCTCCCGCACGTCCCGCTCAGCCGAACCCGCGTGGGTACCTGCGTGCTGGGAGGTACAGCAGCGCGGAGTCTGTGCTTTTAAAGGGAGAAGGAAAGCGTGTTGAGTTGAGGTGGTTACAAATCAGCCATGGGCCGAACTGGGGGGGGGGGAAAGCAGTAGGGTTCAAGTAAAACCTGCGCTGAAATCCATTATGAAATAATTCAAGTTAATATACCATCATGTGGGGGACACTGTGCTTATTCGAAACTTTTCATTTAAATAGAGTGAAGTATATATTAATTCATTTAGGTTGTGTGAGAATTTATCTGTATATCAACCATTGCACTTGTCGTAAAATTAATGGCTCATATGCTACACAGTGCTTCATCTTCCCTAAAAAAAAAAAAAAAAAAAAAAAAAAAAAAAA